TTTCTCAAACCAGCCATTTCATTAAGGGGCCCTCATTTTTTTAAGAGAGAAATGGTATTTAGAGACTTCTGCTTATCCAAGAGTGCAGACTCAAAGAAGTATACACCTAGTAGTGGTTCACTGACGAGGTTATAAGGCAGAGACTCTTAAAATATTATGTTATACATTAAAAAAACAAAACAAAACTCTGACTGGGCATGTGGTGTATACATGGAATCCTGGTGGCTCAGGAGACTAAGGCAGGAGGATCCCAAGTTTGAGGCCAGCCTCAGCAACTTAATGAGGCCCTAAGTAACTTAGACTCTGAAAATAAATTAATTAATAATTGAAGAAAAACCTGAATTGTTTTTCTTTGTAACTCCCGGGCTCAAGTGATCCTCTTTCCTTAGCCTCCCAGGTAATGGGGACTATTAGCGTGTTCCAATACGCTGTCAAACACCTAAACAGTTTTTTTTTTTCTTTAATATCTTTTTAGTTGTAGATGAACATGATACCTTTATTTTTATGTGGTGCTCAGGATCGAGTCCAGTGCCTCATACATGCTAGGCAAGTGCTCTACCACTGAGCTAAACCCCAGCCCCACCTAAACATTTTTAATGAAAGCATTTCCACAGAACATTTGGTACACCTTTGCCTGTTAGAATTCTGACATAATCTCAACTTCCTTATTAATTGGCCTGAGTTTTAGTAGGAATGTTACCTTGTTCCACAAGCTTGTTTTTCTAGTTGTGTGACACTTTGCTAAGAAGTAGGGAAATCCATTTCATGGGCCTTGATTGACTTTTTAAAGTGGATTAAGTAGAATAGAAAGTATCAAAGAGTGTTATGTTGATACAAGTTGAATATTCTTTACCTGAAATGCTTGGAACCCGAAGTGTTTTAGATTTCTGATTCTGGAATACTCGAATACGTGTAATGAGATGTATTGGGATGGGACCTATGTCTTAAAATGAAATTCATTTAATTTCACGTGCTCCTTATACACACAGCCTGAAGGTAATTTTATACAATATTTTAAATAATTTTGGGCGTGAATCTTTGTTACAATGGTGTGGAATTTTCCAGTCCCGGCATCACATCATTGCTTGAACAACTTTGAATTCTGTAGCATTTCAGATTCGGGCTTAAGCGTGCTCAACCCATACTTAAAAAGAATGGTGTATGTGGGGCTGGGGTTGTGGCTCAGTGGTAGAGTGCTTGCCTAGCACGTGTGAGGCACTGGGTTTGATCCTCAGCACCACATAAAAGTAAATAAATAAAATAAAGGTTTAAAAAAAAAAAAGGAATGCTTTACCTTTGGGAAAAAAAAAAAGAATGGTATATGTTGCAACAAAATATTCTCCCCCCTCCCTCTTCTCTCTCACCCACAGTGAACGTGGGGTTGTGATTTCAATATTTTTTTCTTACAGTGGGTTGCACCCAAGAGTTCCAACAACACTGTGCTGCATCTGTGCTCCCCACTGTGCAATCCCAGGCCACCATTCCTGGCTTTCACCTAGGAACTTGTCAGCAGCTGCAGACTCTTCAGGCCCCACTGAGTCAGAACTGGAGGTTTCTGTGCTATCTCCAGGTGATGAGCTCACCCTTGAGATGCTGTGCCGGGGATGCTTGCTTGCTTGGCGGGTGCTTTTTAAGCACTTGTCTTTTTATAGTTCCCTTGTTTTTTTTCGGGGCTGCCTCAAACCTGTTGAGACTGACCTTTGAACTTCCCCAGCAGCCTTCTCCTTTTCAGTGAAGTGGAAAGGGAGCCCAAAGCACAGCCCCCAGAGGAGACTGAGCAGGGTGGTCAGGTTCCTCCCTGACCAAAATGGAAACTTCATACGTTTAGTGATGCTTTCATTGGCTGTTCAGGTAAGCTGTGGAAAGACACGGCCACCTGGGGAACCTACGAGGGCTGCGAGATCTCTCTCTGTCACACACACAACAACAACAGCAAAACAGCTGCATTTCAACCTGCTGTTTTCAGATACTGTGAGGAATGGACAAGTTATGTTTTAGGACCTGTCTTGTCAGCCAGATTCATGGACTCAGTACTGTTAATTACTACTCATCAGGAAAATCTGAACATACGAGAAAATGATCACTAGCCTCCAAGTTCCTTGGTGGTTATTGGTTATTTGCATTTCAAGAAGAGCTTTTTATCTAGGAAGTAATTTTTGTTTTGCAAAAACAGCCAAGAAGCATCCCAGGCACCTATTTTCTGAACAGAAAAACCTGATAGGACACCCAGACTGAGGGAGGTCCATCTCTTTGCCTTGTGGTGTGTCTGTGCACATTCTGCCTGTTACTCTCTGCCTGCTGTGTTCTTCCACACCTTCCCTGGGTGCCCTTTGCCATGTCCTTCTGTTCCTTAGGATGCAGCCCAAATGATTTCTCCTCTAAGAAGTTTCCTGATACTTGAAACTCTATTATTTGGAATTCCACAGCACTTGCACTTGATCTCTGTTTTTCTCATGGACCTTCAAAAAAATCCACAAGTGTACCTCGTACATAGAAAGTACTCATAAAATATTTGTTGAAAGAAGTATTTTTTTTTAATACTGAGGATTGAACTCAGGGGTACTTCGTTACTGAGCTACATCCTCAGCCCTTTCTTAAATTTTGAGACAGGGCCTCACTAAGTTGCTCAGGACCTTGCTAAGTTTCTCACGCTGGCCTTGAACATGCTATCCTCCTGCCTCAGCCTCCACTGCTGGACAATGAAGTCATCTATATACATGTTTTTTCTCCTTTTGAAGATTGTAGGCTGTTTCTCAGAAGAATCTAATTTTTTGTCTCTCTCTGCTGATGAAATGTTTCTTTTGTTGGCATTTGGCTTTCAAAAGCCCCTTTGCTATGGATAGCAACGTGGGGACCAGGTAGAGTGGTGTTAAGCTGTTCTTTTTGATGTGTTTTGAGATGTTGCTCAGTACCACTCTCTAGGGCATGTGTGGCTTTGGGGAATTGTCAGTGTTAATAACAGGGGAGGGAATGAGTGCCGGGCTGCAGGATGCAGACTCCTGGACCCCCATCGTCGACGGCTTTGTGGGTACAGGCAAAATGAGAAGATCTGTGTGCCTGTTTCCTTTTCTGTAGAAGAGGTACAAAAATACCTGCTTCGGGTCATTGGTGCCAAGATGTATAGTGATAAATGTTTGCAAAAGATCTTAGAGGAAAAAAACAAAGAAAGCTAAATCTGTGCGCCACATCAGTGGCTCTCCACCAGGGCTGTGGTTCTGCCCTCCAGGGGACATTTGGCATTGTCGGGGGACTTTCTGTGGCCCTATCCGGGGAACTAGGTGGAGTGCTGCTGGCATCCAGTAGGTAGAGGCCAGGGAGGCTGCTCTACACACTTCAGTAAATAGAAGTTTCCCCATGACCAAGAACTAGGGCTCCAAAGTGTCAATAGTGGCAGGGTTGAGAAACTGTCCTGGAGTCGATTTTTATCTTTCTGAGGACATTGACCTAATTAGATTTACTGGCTTTTTGTGGTTTAGGCAGAAGGGTATCTTCTTAGGCTGAGGTGGACTTAAACTTTCTTTCCTTTTTCTTTTTTGTGGTTTTGGGGATTAAACCCAGGAGTGCTCTACCACTGAGCAACATCCCTGACCCTTTTTATTTATTTATTTTTTTTGAGATGGTCTCTCACTAAGTTCCTGAGGCTGGCCTCAAACTTGCCATCATCCCTCTTCAGCCTCCCAAATAGCTGAGACTGTAGACATGAGCCACTGTACCCCCCCTTTTTTTTTTTTTTTAAAGAAGCTGTCTATCTCTATTTAAAAAAAAATTTTTTTAGTTGTTGATGGATATTTGTTTATTTATTTATATGTGGTGCTGAGAATTGAACCCAGTGCCTCACACATGCTAGGCAAGCGCTCTACCACTGAGCCCCAGCCCCAGCTCCCTGTACCTTGCTTTTTAAACAAAAAAATAAACATCCTCTTCCCACCTCCCACAAGCACTGGCCTTGGTGTGTGGAGCCCTGTGGTATTGGACTAGCTCTCACCACTAATGGACCGTGTGATCTGTAAGAAATCACTGGACCTCAACTTGGTTGGTTAGTTGGTTTTTCCACCTATAAAATGAGGAATTTTGGCTCAATGCTGTCTACCCACCAAATCTTAAGGTTGTCTTAGTGGCTAGTTTTGAGCTTTTGATTGACTTCTCTTACTTTGGTTCTGAGAAGTTAAGAGCAGATGTCGGTTTGGGCATCTTTTTCAAGGAATAACTTCTGGCAGGAGGTGCATTTGTTATGAGAACAGACTACTTAGCAGATGTGTATGTGAATAAAAGTAGCTTTGTGTGTCTGGGTGTGTGAGCGTGTGTGTGTGTTTATAAGGAGCAACACTGAAGGTAGAGAATCGCTCTGAACTTGAGATTTACAGCGGCTGTTTCTGAGATTGTCATAAAGGGCCCTGCTTGAAGCCGAAACTTCTGACTTCCTTTCCGACTGGCTGAAAACGAAAGCAGAATATGATGTGTGCTCCGAGAGAAGCGGTTTTTCACCATAGAACCAGTTATGTCGTGGTGGGGACAGGCTGTGTTTCTCAGGATGGTCTGATTGGCAGCTAATGGGACGAGAAGGCCCAGGAGGGGGTTGAGTGTGGGTGTGTTTGGTGGGAAGAGGGTGGCACCATGTCCAGCCCAAAAACGTCCTGCTGCTGATCCTCATTTCATAAAGCAGATGATATCACCCAAGCATCTCTACTCAAAAGGAAGTTCTGAAATTAACCCCGAGGGAGCCTAGCAGCAGAAGCCAATGCTATCAAAAGGAAAACCTTTTTCTCCCTCTTGAACGAGTCCAGCATAAATGTGTTGGGTTTGAGCTACCCTGTATTTACAGCTTATGCCCATATATGTACCTGGGCGAGGGCGACTTAAGAAGACTTGTGCTCCTCCAGAGTGAGCTTCCTTGGCCCCTTCCCCGGAGGTTGGTCAGACGCCAGTGGCTCTTCCTTCTCCTGGGCATGCTTTTATTTTCTCTTTGAGAGACTTCATGGTTTGTCTGCTCTGCCCGTCAGGAACCCGCCCCAGTGGCAGATGCTCCACCCCAAAGTGAAGTGGCACCTTTCAGTGTGGGTCCTTATCCGCAGTTCTCAGGGGCCAGCTGCCTGACAGCCTTCGGATCCCCAGGTACTTTTAAGCCTTCACGCCTGAGCCCCTGTCTGTGATCGCTAATGTTAAAGAACCTTTTTGATTTTGTTATTTTTAAAGCAAGCAGTAATCAAAACCAGCACTAAAGGACTTTGCCAGGGGCCCTTAGTGTTTCAGAGGATGTGTTAGAATGGAGAAGCCAAGATAGAACAGGATGGACTTTTACTAGCTACATGTTTCCATAGAAGAAAGACCGTCCACCTGCAGGGTGCTTGGGGCCAGGCGGCAGAGCAGTGCTCCCTGAGTGGGATGCAGGCTCCTGTTCCTCACCTGGCTGTGCTTTGGTGGCTCTGGTTCTGTTAGGAGAACATTCCAGCTTAATGCATCTTATAATGGGTCCCTTTTCTACTTGTACCCACTTGGACTGGCTGGTGGGTAGGGATGATCCTCAGCTGACTGTGAACCCAGAGATGTTTGGAAAGAGTAGTTTATGAGAACAGAAGACAGAGCAGGTGAGAAGGTAGAGTGACGGCGACCAGGAGGAACTTGCTCTCTTGGACTTCCTGTGTGCTGAACGTGCACGTCACCTTCTCTCATTTAACCCTCAGCATAACTCCAGGAGGCAGCCCCTCGTCATCTCCATATCATAGCAGAGAAGTTGCAGGCCAGAAAGGAAGTACCTTGGTCAAGGCTACGAACTGTCCATCTCTCTCTTAGAATAAAAGGAAACCTGTGTTCAGCATGCACAAGGCACTGGACACCATCTCCAACACAAAGCAATAAAAAAAGGCGGCAAACATTTCAGGCCTTTTTAAGTTGCCTGGTGAAGTCCTCTGGCCCCGGCTTCCCTCTTCTCTGACCTTACTTGTACCTTCTTGCTTTCTTCATCAATTATGCAGACTCTGTGACCAGCCCTCTTTCTTGAACTTGCCAAGATCTTGCAAAGCCTCTGCCTTTGGGTCTTTGGACTAGCTGTATCTTCTGTTCACAATGCTCTTTTGCCTGAATTTTTTTTTAAATTTTTTTGCATAACTTTTTGTTTTGACCTTCAGATCTTAGCCTAAATGTCTCATCTAGTTTTTGTTTCTTCCTCCTGACCAGCCAAAATTAAGTTGGTGCTCAATCGTATCACCCCGTTTTAATTTTTTGTATCTACTTCTCATATCTGATCTGCCTTGCTTGTTTTAGCTGGTCTATTTGCTGTCTGTCTGCCTTCCATAGTATCAGGAGGGCAGGGACCTTTTCTGGTTTTGTCCTGTATCCCCAGCTACTGCAACAGTGACAGCACTTGGCAGAGATCAGTTCGTGTGTTGGATAAAACAGAAGATGTAAGTTTTATATTGAGGGTCATACTCTCTAAACCCCTGGCTGTTTAGTTTTATGTTTTGTATTTTCCTATAGCTAATTTTTCCTATTTGAACAGTATGAGTCCTAAGCACTCGGCCATTGCTAGAGCAAATCCCAGAGGAAAGTACATAGTGGTGTTTTTCAAACGTTTGAATCTCAGGATCTCTTCACATAATTAAAAACTATTGAGGAACCTCAAAAAAAATGTTAATTTTTACATTAGAAATTAACAACACTGTAACTGAGAAAACCCCTGACCTGTTAACTTAGTAACATTTCTCATGAAAAATAATATTTAAAGAAAGTTTTGAGATGAATGACATCGTTTTACATTTTTGCAAATAGTCGTAAGGTCTGGCTGAATCAAGGATTCGCCCAGTGCATATCTGAACTGCTTTCTGTGTGTCATGACATAGTCTTGCAACCCCTGGAAAAAACTCCACTGTATGTGTGTAAGACACTGAATAAAAAGGCAGATACCTTCTCGGTGTTTTTAGGAAAAGAGTTTTGACCTTGAAATTCCCCTGAAGGAGTCCCAGGAAGCTCATGGAGAGCCACTGGCTCTTGGGATCCATGGGTCATTAGAAGGCTGGATGGCAGCATGGAACGGGTGAGAGGGAGAAGCTGAAGGCTTTAGTGGCAGGGTGCAGCTGAATGTCCCTGTGTCTGGATATTGTATCAGATCTTTCTGTTCAGGAATAAATGTACAAGCAATGCTTTTTAGCTATTTTTGAAAAATTAAAAAAAAAAAAAAAGACATCCCAGCTAAATCTCCCCTAAAATATAAAGGAACACAGAGAACTTGAATACCGATGATACTGGTCTCGTGTTCATCTCTTTCCCATAGCATGATCATACCAAGCAGCCTAGACATTCTGCAGTGGGAGGGGACATGAGAAAATGATGGAGCATGGGTTCCTCGCTGTGAGAATAGCAGCTTCAAGTGTAAATTCCTTGATGGCTGTTACTCTGCTGTCTCTCCAAAGTTCTTCTTAGAGCTTTTGGTCTCAGGTGAGGTGGGTCCTTCTTCTGAAATGAGGTCATCTCACAGCTGCTTTGCACTTGGGTGTCTGTTACAACCGGTGTGGTAGGAATCCAGGTGAAAACTCTGTAACAGAGGACATAGCCACACGAGCCAGCTTGACTATTTAAGAGGGGTCAGTGATTCCCATTCGGGCCTCTGGAGACTATGTCTTGGCTGAGATACGACTTTCTCTGGTCATTGGGCCCTAAAGCACCCATGAAAAGCTTGGTAGTCAGGAAAGGGTACAGATGTGGTCAGAGAGTCCTCAGTACCTGACTCCCAGGCCTGCCCCATTTCTGAAAGCCAGACTGCTCATCCACAATGGCTAGGTGCCTTCATCTGAATTGAAGGAAGGAAGCTTGCCTCTTGGTGGGTTTCTGCAGGTCTGTGGCTTTGAGGTCCTGGAGCTGGCTCTAAGTCATCTTACCATTTCTCCCTCATCTGTCCACCTTTAAAGATGAAGTGACATGTGATACCTTAGGTAATGTCTTAGTTAATGAAAGTGTTCTAATTTAGTCTCAGTTTCAGGAGTTCCTAAACTCTTAAATGCTGCATGGTGTGTAGGCGAAAGTTAAAAAGTTTTTTTTTTTCCTTAGGAAAATGAATATAATGTAATTAAAGTGTGTGCAGGAGAAATAAAAGATGAGAAAAAGTACAATAAGTGAGTTTTCTGCCACAGTCAAAGCTTTTAGGGGAAAAAAAAATTTCCAAAACCTATTTTGAGCTGTTTAAAAATTAAATGAAGCATTTCTTTTTCAGCAAAGCTATGCTTCTGCCCATTTATAACACCACAATGGGAAAGAGTCTAAATAATTGAATTATCATCCCTTTGAAAATGTTCCCACCCTCCCCACCCCCTGCAGGGGACCCGGTTTGATGTTAAAAGAGGGAGTTGGGTTGTGAATTCCGGTACCAGAAAACTATAGGACCTGGGCCATGCTGTCCCAAGACTAGCTACCTCATAGGTGTCCAGAAGATCTAGAGGTTTCTGGGGTCCATGTTGTCTTAGGGTCAATTTCTAGCAAGTAAGAAATGTAGATCAAGCATAGGAATCACAAGGTAAAGGCAGAGGTGAGTGAAAACTTTGAAGCAACAGAGTAAATGTTTTCATTTCAGTCTCATTCGTGAGTACAAAAATGAGCTCTTAGTAAGGTTCAAGCATGGCATTGAGCACATGATGGTGGTGGTTGATACCTCATAATAAACTCAGGAGAGGTGAAGGATCGCCCCCACTCCACCCTACATATAAGGGAGGTAAGGTTCAGAGAGGCTCTTGAAGTTGTTTAAGGACACGCAGCTGGTAGATGATGAAGCTGAGAGTCGAATTCGGGGTTCTGAGTCTGTCTCTCTATGTATGCACACTTGTCAGCATTCATAAGCCATTTTAGAAGGATGGAGGGGATGGCCAATGGTGTTAGTGTGTTAGTCAGCTTCTCTTCTCCACTGATGGGGACGGTGTTAGTCAGCTTTTCCTTGCTGTGACTAAAATACCCCATGAGAACAACTTAAAGGAAGGAAAGTTTTCTTTTGGATCATGAGTTTCAGAAGTTTAATCCATGGTAGGCCAACTCCATTGTTCTGGGCCAAGGTGGAGCAGAGCAAAATGGCGGAAGATTGTGGTACAGAAGTGAAGCTCTGCTCATGGCAGCTGGAAGTGGAGAGGGAGGAGAGGAGAAGGGACGGGGCCACAGGGAAGATGCACCCTTCCAGGGCTCGGCCCCCAGTGACCCACCTCCTCCACCCCGCCCTGCCCACCTACCGTCCCCACCAGTCCATGTATTCAGACTTGGATGGACTGCTGAGGTCACAGCTCTCCCAGTCCCGTCACTTCTCTGGTGACTATTCCTGCATCAACAGGTGCCTTTCGAGCACAACCCAGATCCGAATCATAACAAGGACAGAAGTTGGAGTAGCTTTCCAGGGGTGAAATTCAAGAATTTTTGTTTCTTGCTCCCATATTTCTCAGAAATTTGCTAAAAAAAGGCCTGTAGGCTTCCGTTCTCTGTCCTCGATTCAGTGACGTACAACTTGGCTTTTAATTTGCTTTAGAAAACAGACTCCTAAAAAAAAGTCTCAACTCACTTAGGCGGTAGATAGGCTGGTACTACTGTTCCATTGAAACCAGGCTTGGGGGCTGGCTTGGCGCAGGTGCTAGGAAGATGACGCCAGTCCCTGCCCTCGCGGGTTTGTAGTCAGTGGAGAAGAGAAGTAGGTCAGCAAAGAAGTGAATAAGCCACGCTGGGACAGTGGTAGTGAGCCCAGGTAGGGAGACAGAGTGGGCTTCCTAGAGGTGGTGACTTCAAACTGGGGCTATAAAGATGAGCGGGAGTTAGGGACAAATCGTGTTGGCATAGGAGGGAGAGAAAGCTCTAATGCCTTGGGGACAGCGTATACAAAGCCCAGGGAACAGAGATGCATCCAGCTTGTGGGGGGGGGGGGTCTTGGAGTTTAGAGGGCGAAGGAGGGTAGAGAGAGATGAGGAGCCAGAGCCGGGTCCTGCAAAGCCCAGCGATCGCGGGGGAGGTGGGCGGGGGTGGAGTGATGTGGTCTGATTCATGTTTCTAAAAGATCATTCTGGCTCTTATATGCAGAATAGATTTTGATAGCTTCAAAGAGATGAATAGGAAGGCTGTATAGTGAGTGTCCAGTTAAGAAATGGTAGACTCAG